GCACTTGCTTTTGGCCCGACTCATCAATCTTTTTAGTGAGGATACTCAATTGCGTCATCACAGTAGCCATGTTCTCAACCATGGAGTTGTTTGGGTTTAGGGCTACTGAGTGAACTACCAGAGTGATTGTAGAGTCCCTTGTCATCCATCCTGAGTTTTGAGCCATTTTATCAAGCAAAACCTTACACAATGACTCCTTTCCAGAGGCGCGAAAGAGCTTTGTGGGCTGTTGAGCCACGGGAGCAAGGGCTACGCGAGTTGTTGAATTGTGGGAGCCGCGCCAAGGAGTACTATAATGTGCTTAGTAGTGAGGAAAGAGCTTCGGACGATATGAAGGCCGTGAGGGTCATGGTGTGGTCGACTAGTGTGTGTCACTACAAAGTTAGGCACCAGAGGGTGCAAGTACGGAGGCACATTCCAAGTGAACACCGAAAGGAGGTGAAGTGCAGAGGCACGAAAAGCTGTAAATATTTAATTTTTGCTCTTTCTATTTCTACTACATTACATTGTTTTTAGGTTTATTGTGTGTGTTTATAGACTTTAGCATTAGATTATTAATTATTTTATTAAGGGGTTTAAAGGTTTGGATTAATGCCATTTTTCAGTTGAGTTATGCACAAATCAGGCCCAATTTTTGAGCCTAATTTGGCCGACCCAGTCCAATTGTTGGCTTGCCAAGACCCGGATCAAAACGACGTAGTTTCATAATAAAACTACGCCGTTTCACTAAATGAAGCCCATTTACTATCTGCCTAGGTATTTAAAACCTCAAAAATCTAAAAATTGCCTCCATTTCCACCCATATTTCTTTTCTCCTTCCTCTCTCATCTCTCTTTCTTCACTCTCTCTTTCTCCTTAGCCGCCGTCGAAAAACGCCCACCGGCGGCAGACCACCTCCAAACACTCCCAAATTCATACCATGTAATTTCTACAACCTCCTCTTTCCATATCTCCAAACCAAATCCTTCAAAACCCTCTCAAACTCCTTGAAATTTAGATCTAGGAAACTTTAGCCGCCACTTCTTTCCCTAATTCTTGAAGCTCCGGCAACTACCACCTCGCAATACCTATATCAACGGATAGAGCTCCTCAAGACCTACCCATTGATGTCAACTTCACCCCAAGAACACCATTGCTGCCGCCACGGCCGCGGTACTGCCGCCATCACTACCTCGCCTCTGCTTAGGCTAGTCTTGAACTCGAAACACGACTTTGTTGTTGATGATATCGTGATTGATCTTCGGCTCACCGGAGTTTGCGGTCACGATTTATCAATAAGAAAATCGTGCTCGAAGTTCCAAGTTCTACCGAGTTGGCATACCACCATTGTTTCGGCCACTTGAATTGTAAAATGGTAAAAATCCTATTCTTTTTTCATGGCTGATTATTTATTTATTTTATTTTTATTTTTCAGATTTTTATTGTCTCTGATTAATTATTTTAGCATTAGTTTTTGAAGTTTGAAATGCTAAATTTTCTGTTTTTGCACTTGTTGAAGTAGTAGAATGGTTTTGTATTGATGAAAGATGAGGTAATGAATGAATACTTGAGAGTACGGGGTACTTGTTTGGTTTCTTATTTACTGCTTCAGAGACTTTTTGAGTACAAAACTCAAAAGTCAATTGTTTGGTAAGAAAATATATACTTTTGGACAGTTTTTGAACAAAAGTCTGTCTTTGAATAGTGAAGAACAGATTTTGTTTGAAATATTCTCTTTTGGACAATTGAACTAGAAAGTCTTGCCTTTTGAATTTTAGAGCAGATTTTGTTGAAAAATATGTCAAAAAAAAGGACAGATTTTTAATCATGAACTGCATGGTTTTTCTCCTATAAAAACATACTCCCTCCGTTTCAATATGTGAACCTATTTCCTTTTTAGTCCGTGCCAAAAAGAATGATCTCTTTTCTTATTTGGAAATAATTTACCTTTATGTAATGATTTATAGCACACAACATATACGTGCCTCATTTTACACCACAAGTTCAAAAGTTTCTCTCTTTCTTAAACTTCGTGCCCAGTCAAATGGGTTCACATAAATTGAAACGGAGGGAGTACATCTTTAGAGTAGCAGGGGATCTCTATTGACTAAAAAAATGAGAGAATTTTGAGAGAAAAATTTCAATAAAATCATCTTTAGTAGGTGAAAATTGTGAGCTTTGTGAGTGTCTCTTAGAGTGCAAAACCTTTGAGAAAAATAGAAAGATTCTTCAGGCAATTTGTGAAGTTGTTTAGCCATTAGTTTCAAGCATCTTTGTTGGTTTTCTGGGTTGTCTTAAAGCCATTTCTGTTGTTGTTTTTTGCTGCTATTCTTGCTCATTCTACGGCTGTATTTTTACAATTCTGTGATCCAGGTATTTTTTTTTTTACTTTGTATTGCATATACTTTCAGATTGTGATTGACTCTCGAAACGTGCTAGAAGTCAGTTAACATTAACTTTCTTTTATATGGGTAGTTGAAACTATTTTTTTTTGGTATGTTTATAGAGGGTAGTTTTGAATGCTTTATGTTTAAAGTATTGAAAATTGATTAGTGCTGGATTTTTGGCCTGCCACTCTGATTTAGATCTTAATTAAGATAAAAGTGGCTGTTTAATAAAGTGGTTGTTTATGCAATCATGACTTGGTAGAAATGGCTATAGTAAAATTGGTTGGGTCAATAGCCTTCAGGTGGCTGCCTATGCAAACCTCAATTTCAAAGTATCCTGGGCCAAAACCTAAGTTTCTGCAGGCCCAACTACGACAAATTAAGGGCTGACCCAATGCTAAAGTTGTCCAAAATGGGTCAGCAGTGTAAATGCACCAAAATTGGCCCAACATCCCCAATAACAAAGAAAGTGGCCCAATGCCATTTTAAACCCAATAAACAAAGCTGGTCCAAATTTTCAATTATCAGCTTTTCAAATAATTTTCAATTTGTCATATTTCCTTCTAAATTATGTAGCTTAATTACCTATGTAACTTAGTAATTAATTTAAGCTGCAGACAAACATTAGGCGCGCTATAATTGTTTTCGTCTCGGTCACACATTCGCTTGCGTGGTGCGGTTAGGACCATTTAATATTATCCAAGTCATTCTTTAATAATTTTAATAATCAAGCAATAAGAGCAGACATAGGAAAAAACATGAAAATCTTATAAATCACAGTTTGTCCAAAATTAATTCAAGCCAAGTTTAAGTCAATAAAGCGACCGTGCTAGAACCACGGGGCTCGGGGAATGCCTTAAACCTTCTCCCCGATCAACAGAATTCCTTACCCGAACTTTGTTTTCGCAGACCGATAAAAATAGAGTCGAACCTTCATTTGACTAGGGATTCAAATAAAAGGTGACTTGGAACACCGGAAAAAAAAAATCAATTCCAAGTGGCGACTCTGAACAATAAAATAATCCCTATTTCAAAATTGTCACTTCAATCGGAAAAACTCTTTAACCCACAATCCATAAAATATATTCTTTTTGGGGTTAAAAAGGGGTGTGACATGCACTCACTCGAGGAAGAGTGTCAAATAGTTAAACTTGGTTTTAGTTGAATATAAGCTGGTGTAATAGAGTATGTAATTACTGGGTTGTTGTTGTTGTGGTAATAGAGTATGTAATCAGTGCTAGAGTATGTGCTTCAAATTGAAGATTTTACTAGACAACTGCTTCTTGTAAGCCTCTAACTTTCGGTTTAGTCGTTTGCAAGGAAAGAGGAAACAGGAAGATTATAAGTTACAATTCCGAGAAAATGGAGGAGATTGATAAAAAAAATCCGAGAAAATGCAGAAGGCGGAGATCAACTCCCAATACTTAAGTTAATAACTCCTTTTAAGAAATAAACTGAATTGAGGCAAAGAGAGGACATAGAAATGTACATGTAAGAGCTGTAGTGCATCCATAGGTCGTTATGAGAATGTATGCGTGTTGTTGATTCTTTATATTGCCTTCTATTTTCATTTTTCTTTGTTGTTCGTCTCTTGGATATGGACCTCTCTGTTCTAACAAAGGGAACTTGACAAAGTGCAAACAACTTATCTCAACTATTTGATTGGAGTTCCAATAGGCTTGGTGTTAAGAAAGAATCTCTTGCACGTGTGTGAAGAGACTAACAAACTTGCGAAGCACGCACCTCAATAGCCCTGCCTGTGTGAATTAACGAACTTAGAAGTACAAGTGTACAATTAGCTTAAGCTGGTTTTCCACCTATTTTTTAGTGTTCGGCCATTTCTAGCAAAGTATAAAGGACATATTAATTGCCGATTTGGGGTTCTGATGGAAGATACTGCAAGGTTGGCTAGAGATTTCTTGTAAAAGTAGTAGCCCTACTGAGTTCATAATGAGAACATTTTCATCATTGAGTCGTTTGGACTCTTATGTATTATTCTCATCATGAACATAAGGGAAGAGTCTTATGAGATGCAAATCTCGTGTACGGTTTTGAAACGGAGATACTATCATCCATAACCAGTAAGTAGTTGTGCTTGTGTAGTGGTTTTAAGTTCCTTGGTTAGTAACAATAATCTTTAGCACATTGGTTTTTGTTCTAATAGTAACAATAATCTTTAGCACACGGCAGTCAATGCAGTGCTGATTCCTGGCGGATCAGGTAATCTTCCTATAAACTCCATTTCTAAAAACCCAGCAATCATAGACTCAGTTGGTTTATTTAGTCTTGAGTTTCCAGCTGGCCAGTTTGGCAATTTTCCATGCAGTGCGAGGTGGCGGTTATCCTTTTTTGGAGGATAAATGGATTTGAAGGAACTCATTCTTTTGTTTGTAATGAGTTGATGGTTGATATTAATGATACTTGTTGTAACATGGAAGTCACTTGTGTTCTAAACTGCATTGGTTGGGGTGGTTTCTTGAACTTGTGCTCGATTCGCGTGTGTCTCTTTAGTGCTTGATTCCACTTGTATGAACTTTAATACAGTCGCCCAACACCACCATTTTTCTTACATCAATGTAATGTTACTGCAAAAACTTCTGCTAAAGTGTAAACACTTAATTTTTTTGGGGTTTTAAGTTTTTAAGAACCGGATTTTTAGGGACATTTCTGCAGGAAGAATATGGGCCAAGCATGCTAATGGTTTGGTGCATTAGATCCTGGATTATTATACAAGAAATAACAGGTGAAGTTATGACTATGGAATAAACGCATTACTTGAATAACTAGAATAAAAATAATGAGAGTTACACTTCATCAAGCAAGCTATTTGCTGTTCCGTACTTCTTTTTAGTCTCTCTCTCTCTCTCTCTCACACACACACACACACACAGAGGTCAAGAAACAAGTTTAAGCTTTAGCTATGTGGTTTTCTCATACATTCTACAGGCAAGACCTCGCTAACATTGTTAGAAGAAGAGGGTATAAACTTCTCAAGGAGCTTCTCTCAACTTCCAAGCCACCAAACTATGAGGAGTGCAGTGGAGAGGATGGCCTTGTTGAAAAAAGTGAAGATGAATCGTTAGGTCAGCAGTTCTTGGTCCTTGTGTATTTTAGGTTGTAACAGCATACCCCATTTTGAATTTTTCTGATTGACAACCTGCGAATTTAAAAGGTCAGGATGGAAAGATGATAGACATGGCTCATGATGTTTCCTTACCAAATGAAGCGTCTGCAGTAGATGAGTACACGAATGATGCAAACAATGACAAAATGCTGAACTCTGATGAGCAAAATTCTAGTGATCAAGAACCTTCAGGCTATTCCTCCTTGGAAGAAAAGGTGGCCAATTTTATTCAGAATGGAGAACTGGATAGTGTAGAGGGTAAGTTATGCTACTCGAGGGTACTTACCTTTAATTGCATGGAAAGTGCACTTGCTACTTTTTGTTCAACAGAAACAAGATATACATGTTCGTCCATACCCCACTCTCCAGTCACCTATATATACTGGACCTCATAGGTGCTCCAGAAGTTAAGTAAAAAACAATAATCATGTCTCATTTGTACAAAACTGTTTTCTACCCCTTTGAACGCTCTCCTAATTTCTTTCCCTCCAATTTAAACTATTACGCGACATTGTTCTTCCCTAGCGAACCAACCTATACACAAATTCTGACAATCATCAAATCAGCTGCAAATACTCTTTATTTATTTATGTAACTTTCTTCTACTCCTATAAATATGATACTATAATAAGTTAACTCCTTAGAATGAGATAGGGAGTTATCTTTACCTATATCTTCCATAATCAGTATGTTCATGTTTCATGTGCGTTCTTATTTGATTTTCTGCAAAAATGCTACCCTTGGGCCTTGACGGATTAAGACTTACATCTTCCCCTTGCCAAATATAAAAACGTTCACCTAATAATTATATCTCTAGTAGCATTAGTTGTGATGCATACTGTATCTGCTGTTCTCATATGCTAGTTTCCAGTTACTAATCTTTGCCACTGGCTAAGGCCTTGGATAAACTGTTAAGTTCTGGTGATGTGAGCTTGAGTAAATCTGTCGGGTTCTAAAATGAGATCCAAAGAGTTTGTGTAAATCTAACTGCTTTGTTTCTGCTTGATTTTTCAGATAGTAGCTTTGAAATTTTCAATGAAAGAGGTTTTGAGCAAATGGTGGGATCTGTTGTAGGGCAGAATGTTGTAAAAACAGAATCTACTACTCCTAAGGAGCATAAAGATCTTGTTCTCTGTAACAATAATGGTGCTGAGATATTTAATGGAAATTCCATGCCACCATCAACCCAGCATGCTGAACATCCTAGCGGGCAGAGTTTCCGAATGAGGTATGCATTTCTTGCAATATTTATGCTTTCATCTGAGCTTATAGGTTCTTCATTTTCCACTGGGCTTTTAGTAAACTATCTTTGGGTTCTTCATTGGCATCGCTTCATCTTCTGCTATTGTGTTTACCAATATATAGTCATGCTTTGAAATAGTCAGTATATATAAGTCCTTTATGTGTCTCATTCATGCTGATTCAATAATCCACCTTGATGTTTTTCCACACAATCAACAAGCCGATAACTTTTTCTTCTTTGAAAAGTTCAGATTTCCTGTCCGCTTCTTGTCTGTGAATTGTATGTTTTTTCACTGGTTCTAAGATTACACATCAGATATTAAACAAAGATGCTTCTTGTTCTGTTATCTGAATGCACCTTGATTTTGCAGGAATAATAGTCTTTCAACTGAAGACTTAACCATGACTGAAGGGAGAAATAGTGCTGATGTTGAGGTGCTAAAATTCTTCATTCTGATTGTTTGCTTTTTATTTGATGCCACTCTTGACTTGGAATTTCCTTTGCCTTCACATTTTATCTGTTAGCCCCCAAAAGTGGAGAATCAAGCTGAAATTATTCGTCTCAAGTTCATGCTGGTACCACTCTTTGGATAATTTACTGTTGAAATTTTGCTTACCCTACTCGGCTTCAATTTTCCTTTTGTCCAGAGCTTTTTATATATATTTTTTCCATAAGAATGACCAATGCCTTAAATGGTTTTTTGCTGTTCTTAGCATCAGAAGGAGCTGGAGTTAACTCACCTGAAGCAGCAGATTGAAGAGGAAAAGGTATAATTTTTCGTCTTACTCCCCCCCATTGTTCAGGAGTAGTGAGTATTTTTCTTTTTCAAGTGACGGCGAGAATGAAGATAAATTTTTCTGCATTGCAAACATGTTGCCACTCAGTTGCCATCCTTCTATGTCATCATAACTATTGGCTTATGAACTCTCATGCTCAGTTTCTTCAATACATCTTGTAATGTATTAACTGTTACTTGACATTTTGATGACACCATCTATACACAATTAACACAATTCAACAAACTATGGGAAGGACCATTGGGTAATGGAAACTTGACTGTTCTTTCTTTTGGACTTGCTGTGGCATCTGAATTGAACTGTAGTTTATTCTTGCTGCTGATACTATTGGACTTGCTGTGGCATATTGTAACATGTTACTCAAATGAACAATTGGTTCTTCATGAAGTAGCAAAGTGTAATTTTCTTAATTTTCTACTTCCAGTGTTTACTGTCTAGTCTGCAAATCAAAGCTGAAAGAGAAATCAGCGAAGCACAAAGACGTATTTCGGAAAAAGATGCAGAGCTAAATGCTGCTGAAGATAGCCTTTCAGGACTGAAGGAGGTATTCAAGCAACTTCTTGTATCAACACTTATTGGATTTCAAGATTCTTGGCTACAACAACCAAAATATAATATAAAAGATTATTGGGAAATTGCTACATACGGAAGGTTTTATGAACTTCACTAGGTATATCTACCAGAAGTTTTCAAAGATGTTGGCTTCATTAAAGCTAATATCATTTAAAGAATAAAAAGCATGATAATTTGTTGCTGAAGCGTGAGTTAGGCTGATCAGGGTAGTGTATTTGATACAGCAGAAGCAGTGTTATCTTGATTTTTACTGGTGGAGCTATGGCTTATTGATATAGTACATTTATCTCTGTTAGGTTGAAATTCAGTATTGGGCGGATGGGGAAAGTGTTGAGGTGGCTGGCAGCTTCAACGGGTGGCATCATAAAGTAAAAATGGAACTACAAGCATCATCCACCATTATAGATCCCATTGACCAAGATATACAAACATCATCAGATACAATAGATCCCGTTGGCATGAGGTTTTTATTATGTCTATTTCTTCATCTTTTGGGTGATTTTTAATGTATCACTGTCAATTATATTTAGTTTCTGACTTAGATACGGTATTGTATTTAGGTTATTTCTTATTCATCTCTTCCAATTATTTTGGGACTATTTATGCACATTGCTTAGTTTGGCACTGGTCTTAGGATATTCATGGCCGAAGGCTTGTGAACTTGATATTTTGCCGTCTAATATTAGCAAAGAGCTATAAGGTAAAAGCTTTTGTAAAGAATGAGAAAAGAAGAGATGTTGGGAATGATTTCCTCGCTTATTCCCTCAATCATGTTGGGGTTTGAATAGTGTCTCATGTCAAACATCNAATTTTGCCAAGTCCACAAATATTATCGGGTGCTAATCTGCTATGTTGCGCGGACTCTCCAAAATGCTGCCGCACCCGTGTCCGATCCTCCAAAAATACACTACTTTAGAGTATCCGGCACGCACCCGGCAATATTTTCAGAGAGTCCAAGCAACATAGCTAATTTGTACTTGGCTTCTCGGTTCCTGATAGACTCGAATTATTTCTTATTTTTTGAGTCTTCATGTATTTTCATTTGTTTACAATAGTAATTTAAATATGTAAATGCAGAAGCAGAGATCTATGGACAATCCTCTGTGTGATAGTTAGTCTGTTTAGATATTGACCTCAACCTCCTTTGTTACTGCTACTGTAATATGATGAATAACATGATAAAGGATTCTTTCCAGGAAACCTCGACTATGGAAAACCGTGTTATGGCTGTATCCAGGGATATATGAGGTACATTATCTACAAACTACAATATGCTAAAAGCAATAAAAGCTGGCTGCGCAGTCATTTCTCTCCTCATAGTTGTACTTGGAATAAGTAACTTCGCTTCTGCTTGTCATGCATTTGTTGTCTATAGACAATCTATTAGGTGATTATTAGTTGATCTTTAGAAGATCTTAAACTCTAAGCTCATTTGTTGGTATTCTTCGCCGAGTCATATTCATAACTTTGCAGTCAGGAGGGGTGCAGGCAAGTGAATTCGAGAATTGAGGTTGAGTAAAACTAATAACCACAATGGAGTTTTATTCATAGAATGTGTTGATAAAATAAACGTTGTATTTTTCTTACAGTAATAAATTAGATTCAGCACTTGTTTCTGTGGTATGATTTTTGTCTTCGATATGCTCAATCAGTTGCTAGAAGAAAGAAAATGATGTTACTTGGTTAGATTTTACATAGTCAGTGAAATATATGAATATTCAAACTATTAAGTCGGAAGCAAAAAACAATCATTAGAAGTGTATCCAGTTTATTTTAAGTCCTAAAACAAACAGAGATCCAGGGGTGGTATGCTCCAGTTTGCAATGTTTGGAGTAGGATCATTGAATCTATTTTCAGATTGTCATTGAGGTGAAATCCACAAACCAAAATACTATTGAAATTCTCCTTTCCCACCTCGACAGACACACGCATGTACAAAGAGAAAAGGGCAATGAAAATGAACGAAGGAAATAGATGGAAGAAAAGAGACTGACTTCTCAGAGTCAATTGAAGGGGTCCACTAAATTCTTTGCCCATTTCTGACATCATAGTTCTATGATTAAAGTGCAGCCATTGTGCTTACTGATTTTGATTTTAGGAAGAAGTTTACTGCTATAATGGTTCTGGAATGAATCTTCCCATTTACTCCAGAAAAATCAAATTTCATTACTCCTCAACTTTTAATAGTCTGACAATCTCACTTAAGCAAGGACTTCTTAATTTAGAACGTCCTACAACGAGCAAGCAAGTTTAGTTCTCTGATAAGTTTCTACCATTATTATTCAATTACAGCTTTTCTGTTCTCCTGCTTTATAGATGTTTGATTGTGTCTTACATTGTTCAACGACTTTATTTCCTACAGATAAAATTCGTTGTTGATGGCCACTGGACAACTGATCCCCAAATGGAGTCTGTTACAAGAGGTGCAATACAAAATAATGTACTACGTGTTGATAGATGAGTTGGGCTATTGCATTCCCACATGCACATACAGAGGTACCTTAGTAGTTTCTTCCAACAATTATCAGTTAGAGCCAACATTCCGTTTCTTTGTTTGTCTTTGTTTACAACCCTCCCCTCCCTCACCCGGTCGGAATGCCACTGTCTCTATTTCTATCTTTGGAAATTGGTGGTATTACGGTTGTCAGTATATTTGTGGCATCTTTCTTATTGCTCGGCTCTTGAAGATCATAACAAAAAGAACTTAGCTATAGGCCTAGGATTTCTTAAATCCTTCATTGTGGGCATTGTTTGCTAACTGTTTGATCAGGGATAGGAGCCCTTGCTCAAATTGATAATTGTGTCAGTTGCTTGAGTTTGTTAAGTAACTTTGTCAAGCCATCATTTACCATAGTAGATTATTATTTACTCGCTAATTGTGTAAGTTGAGGTTGATATTGGGCTTAATTTCTCCTTATTTTTTAAAATTCAGGATGCTTAATGATGCAGTTAAAGCTATCCTTTTTATTTCGATGAATTATACTTGGTGTCCTAATTGCCTAACCAATTTACAGAATCTTTTCGCTTTCTTATTCAGATGATAACATGCCAACACCTATCTCAGTAACCAATTCTTGACTACAATTTGCTGTGACATATTTGTTTTAGTAAATATAATTAGAAATACTAGTGGCAGTTAAGATATCCTCGCTCTTTTAATTTGTATAAGCTTCGATTTTCTTAGACTTCTTCCTAACATTTGCTAACATCTTATCGCCCCACCCTCCCCCTAAACGTGGCACACCTCTTCCCTGTAGACGATGGCCATCAGCAGGAAGATTATGCAGTCCACGGATCATGTTGCATTTATGTTGTTGCAAATCAATGAGCTGATCCATGCAACTTGAAGGTCACGGGCTTCTTCTACTTGTAAACGCCTCAACCCATTTGAAGACCGGGGAAGTGGACTACTTGCACAACTCAACAGCTGCTGTTGAAAATGTCTAGTTTTTGCCTGTAGAGTTCTTATATGCACAAAGTTGAGCCAGGGGCAGCAAAATGTAGCCCAGTAGGATGATTTTTTATATAGTTGCCTGCGAATGGAACTGTATAGGAGGATATTTACCTACAAATTATCATCATTGATTGTACAGTAGTGAAATCTTTGCATGCCTCCTATGTTCACATTTTTTTTTGTTAATTTTAAACATTAACAGAACTAGTATTCAGCAATTTTTTTGTTCAAAGATTGCAAAACCAAATTGTGCCTGGGATTCCACATTAAACTAGAGGTTGGAAGCAAACATGAATGAGGGACAGGTAGCTAAAAATGGTAGAAATGACACCACACAGCTACTCTAAACGGCTTCTATTTAGGAATTAATCAGTGCGTCTTGAATCCTCAATTCTAGAGTCTAAGTCTAAAATTTTTGCCTTGAAACTTGGTCCATCATCTTGTGTTATATGTCGTTTTTTCTTTTCTTTCTTTTAGAGTTAATTTTTTGGAGCATAACTGTTAGTCATATATGATAATAGTTGATTAAGTAGTTAATCTTTTTTTAAATCATTTGGTATTCAAAACTCATTGACTTTGACTAATTCGATCCACATCAGATAGCTCCATTGAGAAAAGTAAAACACTCTTTATGAGAAGTTTTTCATTTTCTATATTGGCTGTCGCCAGAGCGACTTGAAACATTTTTCATTCAAAGCGCTCAATCTTGAGGTAACTAATTAAATGAAGGAATCTCAATCATGTCATCACATTCATTGATGATGCTTAATTCTTTTTTTGGGTGGAGTGTTCATTATGGTCCCGCAAAATTTAGGAAATTCGGAGCCTTCATGCAGATGACGTGGACCGCATCGCATGGAAATTTGGAAATCTTGCTGAATTCTTATTGTATGGCCCTAAAACGTCAAAAGTCGAGGAACAGTCATGGCGAAACGATGACTATGATTCATTAGGTCATTTTTTATGGCCCCGTAAAATTTTAGGGGATTCGGAGCCGGTCGCCAAATTCATGCAGATGTCGTAAAATATAGCACACGAAAATTTGAAAATCATGTTGAATTCCAGTTTTATGGCCCTAAAATGCCAAAAACGAGGCACAGTCATGGCGAAGAGATGACTATTATCCATTAGGTCATTTTTGATGATCCCGCAAAATTTTAGGGGATTCGGAGCCGGTCGGTCGAATTCATGCAGATGGCGTGGACTATAGCACATGAAAATTTTTAAAATCCTACTAAATTTTTGTTTTATGGCCCTAAAATGCGAAAAAATAAGGAACGGTCATGGCGAAACGATGACTATTGTTCGTTAGATCATTTTCGATGGTCCAACAAAATTTTAGGCGCTTCAGAGCCGATCGCTCGAATTCATGCAGATGACATGGACTATAGCATACGAAAATTTGGAAATGATGTTGAATTCCTATTTTATGGCCTAAACGCCAAAAACACGAGGAACAATCAAGGCAAAGCGATTGCTATTGTTCATTAGGTCATTTTTATGGTCCCATAAAATTTTAGGGGATTCTGAGCCCGTTGCCCGAATTCGTGCAGATGGCGTGGACTATAACACACGAAAATTTGGAAATCGTGCTAAATTCCAATTTTATGGCCCTAAAACGATAAAAAAATGAGGAACGTCATGGTGAAGTGAGGTCAATTGTTCATTAGGTCATTATTGATGGTCCCACAAATGTTTTGGCTATTCAGAGTTGGTCACCTGAATTCATACATATGGCATGAACTATTCACGAAAATTTGGAAATCGTGCTTAATTCTTTTTTATGACCCTAAAAGGCCAAAAAAGAGTAACGGTCATGTCGAAGCGATGACTATTGTTCATTAGGTCATTTTTTATGCTCCCGCAAAATTTAAGGCGATTCGGAGCCGGTCGCCTAAATTCATGCAGATGGAGTGGACTATACACGAAAATTTAAAAATCGTGCTTACTTCCTGTTTTATTGCCCTAAAACGCAAAAAATGAGGAACGATAATGGCGAAGCGATGACTATTATTCATTAGATTATTTTTGATGGTCCTACAAAATTTATGGCTATTCGGAGCAGGTCGCCCAAATTCATGCATCTGGCGTGGACTATACACGAAAATTTGGAAATCGTGTTGAATTCTTACTGCCCTTAAACGCCAAAAAATGAGGAACAGTTATGGCAAAGCGATGATTATTGTTCATAAGGTTATTTTTTTATGGTTCCGTAAAATTTTAGGTGATTCAGAGCCGGTCGCCCGAATTCTTGCAGGTGGCATAGACTATAGCACACGAAAATTTAGCAATCGTCTTGAATTCCAGTTTTATGGCCCTAAAACACCAAAAAAGAGTAGCGGTCATGGCGAAGTGATGACTATTGTTCATTAGATCATTTGATGGTCCCATAAATTTTACGCGATTCGTAACCGGTCACCTGAATTCATGCAGATGGCGTGAACTATAGCACACGAAAAATTGAAAATCGTGCTAAACACCCGTTTTATGGCCCTAAAACGCCAAAAATCGAAGAACGGTCATGGCAAATTTTAGGGGATCTGGATCCAGTCGCCCGAACTCATGCAGATGGCGTGGACTATACCATATGAAACCTTTTGAAATCATGCTGAATTCCTATTTTATGGATCCAAAACGTCAAAAAATGAGGAATGGTCATGGCAAAGCGATGACTATTGTTTGTTAGATTATTTTTGATGGCCCCAAAAACATTTATGTGCTTCAGAGCCGGTTGCCCGAATTCATGCAGATGACATGGACTATAGCATACGAAAATTTGGAAATCATGCTGAATTCCTATTTTATGGCCCTAAAATGCCAAAATAACGAGGACCGATCATGGTGAAGCGATGACTATTGTTCATTAGGTCATTTTTATGGTCCTGCAAAATTTTAGGGGATTCTGAGCCGGTTGCCCGAATTCATGCGGATGGCGTGGACTATAGCACACGAAAATTTGGAAATCGCGCTGAATTCTAGTTTTTGGCCCTAAAACGGTAAAAAACAAGGTAGGGTCATGGCGAAGCGATGACAATTGTTCATTAGGTCATTACTGATGGTCCCATAAAATTGTAGGCTATTCAGGGGAGAACCCCATGATCCTTCCGTGTGGAAGGGTTGCTCGAATTCATGCAGATGGTGTGGAGTATACACGAAAATTTGGAAATCGTGCTTAATTCCTGCTTTATGGCCCTAAAACGCCAAAAAATGAGGAACGATAATGGCGAAGCGATGATTATTATTCATTAGATTATTTTTGATGGTCCCACAAAATTTATGGCTATTCGGAGCAGGTCGCCTGAATTCATGCATATGACGTAGCACACAAAAATTTGAAAATCGTGCTAAATTCCTGTTTTATGGCCCTAAAACGTCAAAAAAGAGGAATGATGATGGTGAATCGATGACTATTATTCATTAGGTCATTTTTATGGTCTCGCAAAATCTTAGGGCATTCGAAGGTGGTTGCCCGAATTCATGTCAATGGCGTGGACTATATCACATGAAAATTTGGGAATCGTGGTGAATTCATGATTTATGGCCCTAAAACGCCAAAACATGAGAAACGAACATGGTGAAGCGATGACCATTGTTTACTAGGTCATTTTAATGGCCCCAAAAGTTTTTAGAGGACTCAAAGCCAGTCGTCCGAATACATGCAGATGACGTGGACTATAGCGCACAAAAATTTGAAAATCATGCTGAATTCTTGTTTTATGCCAAACAATAATGAACGGTCATTGCGAAGCGATGCCCATAGTTCATTAGGTCATTTTTTATGGTCCCACAAAATTTGAGGGGATTCGGACACGGTTGCCCGAATTCATTCAGATGGCGTGGAGTATAGCACACGAAAATTTAAAAATCGTGTTGAATTCTTATTTTATCTCCCTAAAATTCCAAAAAATGAACACGGTCATGGCGAAGCAATGATGTCATTTTTTATGGTCCCACAAAAATTTAAGGGATTTAGAGCCTGTTGCGTGAATTCATGCATACGGCGTGGACTATAGCACACGAAAATTTGGGAATCGTGTTGAATTTCTGTTTTATAGCCCAACGCCAAAAAATGAGGAACGATCATGGCGAAGCGATTACTATTGTTCATTAGGTTATTTTTAATGGTCTCACAAAATTTTAGTGGATTCGGAGCCGGTCGCCCGAATTCATGCAGATGTCGTGGACTATAAGCACATGAAAATTTGGATATCGTGTTGAATTCCTGTTTAATGGCCCTAAAATGCCAAAATATGAGGAACGGTCATGGCGAAATGATGACTATTACTTATTAGGTCATTTTTGATGGATCTGTAAATTATAGGGATTCGTTGTCGGTCGCCCGATTTCATGCAGACGGCGTGGACTATAGCACACGATAATTTGAAAATCGTGTTGAATTACTATTTTATCGCCATAAAACACCAAAAAAGAGGAACGGTCATGGAGAAACTATGACTATTATTTATTATGTCATTTTTTATGGCCCTACATAATTTTAGGGGATTCGGAGGCGGTCGCCCGAATTCATGCAGATGGCGTTATAGCACACGAAAATTTGAAAATCGTGCTGAATTTCTATTTTACAAAAAAAAAATGAGGAACGGTCAAGGCGAAGCTATGACTATTATTTATTATGTATTTTTTATGGCCCCGCAAAATTTTAGGGGATTCGAAGCCGATCGCCCGAATTCATGTAGATGGTGTGAAATATAGCATATGAACATTTGGAAATCGTGTTGAATAACTGTATTGTGGCCCTAAAACGTCAAAAAATAAGGAATGGTCATGGAGAAGCGATGCTTATTGTTCATTAGGTCATTTTTGATGGTCCAACAAAACTTTAGAGGATTCTGAGCCGGTTGCCCGAATTCAGGCAGATGACGTGGACTATAACACACAAAAATTTAAAAATCATGCTGAATTCTAGTTTGATGGCTCTAAAACGCTAAAAAATGAGGAACAGTCATGAAGAAGCGATGACTATTGTTCATTAGGTCATTTTTTGCTGGTCCGAAAAATTTTAGGCGATTCAGAGACGGTCGCCCGAATTCATGCAGATGCCGTGGGTTATACACAAAAATATAAAATTCGTACTTAATTCTGATTTTATGGCCCTAAAATACCAAAAACGAGGAACGGTTATGGCGAAGCGATGACTATTGTTCATTAGGTAATTTTTATGGTCCTACAAAATTTCAGGCGATTCGAAGCCGGTCGC